GTTACGACTTTATTCTCGCAATGTTACGACTTTATTCTCGTAATGTTACGACATTATTCTCACAATGTTACGACTTTATTCTCGTAATGTTACGACTTTATTCTTGTAATATTACCTTATTCTCAAAATACAATATATATATATATATATATATATATATATATATATATATATATATATATATAGCAGGCCCTAATACTCCGTCGTACATATCAGATATGGACAGATTGACACATCTATGACAAGTCAAAGTATGGCTCCATTTTTCAGAAACTGAGAAATGCTTGTATTTTTTTTTCTCAATCTTTTCCAGATTAGGTGAACAAATAACATTATAAACGTTGATTTTCCCAGATTAAGTAAGAACCCCGCCTCAAATGCTATTGTTTGCCTTCCTACTGGTCGGCATGGTAATACCGTAATGATATTTATCTGTGGCTCTACAGCAGCCCAATATCCCCTTTATCATCAGTAGGGAAGTGAAAGTTTAGAAAATACTTCTAAGTGAAAATCGGGTAGAAAATGCAGCGGGGTAGAAAATAGTAACTCTAAGACTGTAATAGAATATATGGGTAAAAAAATACAGCTCTATAATAATGGACAGAGGGAAAAATCCACAGCATTTCTGCACCGCCTCCTCCTGAATGATACAAACTGACAGTTTTCAGTTTGAACTCTGCCTATTTTCTCAGCATACCTCATGCGCAAAGAATTTAAAATAAAGGACTGCAAGAGAATAAGTATCCACCCCTATGATACCTCTGCCATGTTGATGAGACCCAGAGCCAGAGTCTTATAACCCAGGATGGTCCGGTTTTTGTATCTCTTCCGCCTCTGCAGCATGATCTGAAGCTTGTTGGCATCCCTCTTTAGGAAGTGTGGGTACTGCAGGTAGAAATACACACACAGACAACTTACAGGTAAGAAAACAATGCTAGATGGGTGCAGAGTGATCAAAACAACCACGCTGGTTTCAAAGGTCCTGAATAATTAGCTGGATCTTAATGACTTGCTGCAGGAGGGATTATCACCCCCAGATACTTTTCCAAGTTCTCCCCGAGCAACAAATCGCTTAGTCACATCCGAACAGGGCATAACCCATCATTAAGAGACTCACCGGGTGCAGAATAATTGGAACAAACTGGCTCCTGGAACAATGTTGAAAGCCATGACAAGACTCTGCTGCTTACTTTTAATAGGCTGCTCCACTGCGGTGTTGCTGTAGCCAGTTTAATGTATAATGTATAATGTCTGGCTCAGTGTAGACGCAGCAATCCACAGAGACAAACTCTCTGACCTTTTAGCAGCGTTAGGTATTAGCAGAATAAGGATAGGATGATTTGGAGGAGAAGAAACACTAGAAGGATGGAGATTAACTGTCCTCTGCATGAGTGGACAGAGTATACGTTGGAGAAAACAAATGGGTATAATCCTCAATAAAACGCCTCAGGATCTGTCTATAGGTCGGAAAATATCAGGATGGTCCAACTACCAGCAGGGGCTACTTGTTTTCACCAATTAACAGTCAGTTTACAGCTACAGTTAGGGCTGGAAGTTTCTTTACCTGCAGGGAGAAGGTGAGCTGTAAGTCAGTCTCTGTCAGTCCTGCTGAGGAAAGCAGGATCTCATTGGAGCGCAAGATCCGTTTGGAGCCCTAGTGAGGAGACAGAGAGGAGATAGGAGGTGTAAATCGAAAGGAAAAATACAAGCACTAATGCTGCAAGCTAACTAGAAAGAGTATTTATCTCTATTCAGTGAAATGCAGATGAGAGAAGCTATGCTGAAGAAAAGTGGTCGACAAGATCATGACAAAGATCTATATATCTGCTTGTCTAGCGACCATCGATCATCACTGCTGTTCAAGGTGCATGGTGGGAAAATTCGAGTCCACTACTTTTTCTTCTACTAGATGTTCGAACACTCATTTAAAATGGCGTAACAACTATATAGTGCTCTATGAGCCACAGCCTATGAGTTCACTTTTTAGATATTCAGATAGAAAATGACGGGTATCAACAAGGGTTTGGCAAGAAGAAGCCTTATAAATCTATACACACAAAACTTGTTTACACTTAGCAAATCAATCCAAAAAAAGAAAATTAAAAACAATCCCCTGAACTTCACAAAGTCCAGTGGATTGTTTTTAATTTTCTTTTTTTTTTTTTTGGAATGACTATGACCTGCATGACTGAGGATCTCCGGCACATTAGCAATTCATTGTCACTACTATGATCTTCAGCGGATATCACTGGGAATATATGTGATAAAGCAATGCAAAGTTAAATGTAATTGATAAATGGGAAAAAATCAGCGTCATTTTCAACATTATTTTGAAAATCCTTACAAAATATTAACTCAGGGACCCCAAATGCTTGCCACACTGTTCAGATTTTCAAATAAAAGCTTTGGAAAACACACTATCCACTACTCTGTGTTCGCTGAGCTTCTAGTAAAAGACAGAAGTATTATAACACAACGCTATATATTATGTGGAGCCTTTTAATTTCAAAGCCTTTTAATTTAACATTTCTGACATCATGTATGTTAAATTTAAATAATTGAAATTATAGGCTGGTCAATGTAAGAAGCAAAGAGGCAGCAGCCCTGCTGGAGCTCAGCAATTTTAAATAACCCATCTTTGGCAGAGTGTCAGAGAGTGTCTGAGCTTTTAAACATCATTCCATGAAGTGCATCCAGATCCAATAACCGTCCTCGAAAAACAGTGAGGAACTTTGCTGAGGTAAAAAAAGATGGAAGACAGACTACTTTCTGGTTTGTTCTCCAATATGTAAACCTCCGCTAGGAACCTATTTTATTCCCCTCACGCAATAGAATCAAATCTCTAGGCTTTAAGTCCTATAATTGGATGCTCCTGAATAAACTTGCAGATATAACTTCTAAATTTAAACTAAGTTACCTAAGGAGGACCCTATTTTCTTAGATCGGAGAAAGCCATGACTACAGTTAATGTTCAGTTTTCATCTGCTGTGAAGTTGGCCTGTGAAAAACACGCTTCTTATCCACCAGCTTTAATTCATAAAGGCAACATATCACCTGATTTAAGCACTAAACAAATTACAAATAAATACAAAAGAAATCTTAAAGTCCCATCAGCATAAAATAAAAAAAGTGGAAATAATTAGAATAACAGTAATTAATTATGAATGTAATAATTTAACCATAAAATTCAAATGACACAATTTGCAGAAAAATAATACATTTACACTATACAATAACTATATACAGAACTTTACACAACTGAATACAGACCGATTACTGACCTCTAGTGGTCACTACATTTACTACAGCGATAAATACCCTTAGCTTTATTTTCCGAGATTCTCTCCCAGCTCTTATAACAATAATTTTAACCTGTTTTAGTTTTTGCATTTTAAGAGTTAATAGTAATACGTAGTTTTATTTTCGTTATATTGAGGATGAATATTTTCGCGGCGCCTCTTAAGGCCACAGTACCGTCAGTGTTTGGCCATATTGTCCAATGGTTCAGCTGGTAATAATCGTCATTAGTGGGGTCCATCAAAGGGTTAACACAGAGACCCATTCCAATGATGAAAATGAATGTAAACATTTCTACGTTAAATTTAAAAATGCAAATATCCGAGGATAGTGGAAAACATATTGAAAAACATGCATTACATTTTTAGTTTTGGGTGAATCTGTTGGTTCCTACAATGTCCCAATAAAACATAAATGAAAATGTATTTAACAAGATCACGAAAGAAAATAAAATATTACCTTAATTTAAATAGAGTGTCTTTTTTATTTGAGATTAAATATAAACACTCAAACCTTTTCTTTTCCACACCCATCTTTACATTTTCCAGCCTTTTCCACTTCTCAAATTTCATCCTTAATTTTTCAACGTTTCATTGGGATGCTGTAGTTAAACCACAACAAACTATATTTGCAAAACTTTGTGAGAGAAACTGTCTTTTTTTTTTTTTTTGGTTCGTTTCCTAATTTCCTGTCAGTTGTGACAAAGCTGTGTCTTTACCTGCAGCTTGACGGCGATGACCACCGAGGTGAGATCTTTGTCCAGCTCCTTCAGCATAATGAGTTTCTTCAGGGTCAGGTTGAAGAGCCTGTAGAAAATGAAAAACAAGGAGAGGAAAGTCAGATCCAATATTGGGTGCGCTCCTGGTCGCTTAGCGCAGGTTCACAGCACAAAGTAAAAAGATCAATAACCCAAAAGCAATCCATTTGTTCCCCACAGAGCTCTGCTCTTTGAAGAGGTTCTTTTGCAGGAGAGATCAACCAATCCGACACCAATATATCAGCGTCCTCCTTAGATTCCTGCCTGGCTTATTGCTTTATTCAGACCAGGAGGCATATTCTGACTGGAAAAATAATTATAATGTTAACCTTTAAAGTAGAAAATGATTTACAAAAAGTTAGATACTTTTAACATGAGCAATGAATTCCTTGAAACATATTAGGTGAATTATTATAGTATAATCCTCAATGGGAGAAACTCTTAATGGCAAAAATTGCTATTAATGTGAAAAAAGGCGTCTAATATTTCTTATATCTTACTTAATATTTCTAATATATCTTAGTTAAGACTTGGCTTAAGTATAAAACAATATTTGCTAAACGTTAGGGAGGTCTTAAAATCCCTTCAACATAAAACAAAAACAATAATCCACATTACATTTCATAACTTTTTAATAAATGTTTTTAATAAAACCACACAATATAACGTATAACTGTAAAACGGATTTAATTTTACAGCCTAGAGCGGGACATCTTTGCACCTGGGCCGATATGCAATTCTTTCGCATCCTGATCTCGCGAGCTTTCAAGGTTTCACTCGCAGATCAGTCTGGAGACTCCGTTAAAGAAAATTTGGAACCGTTCACCAAACGAACGTCCAATCAGCGTTGGCTTTGAGGCGGGTTGAGGTGTGACGCAACAAGAAGCGCGACAGTTCAGTCTAAAGAACATGGCGGCTTCAGCTGATGAAACTAGCGTTAGCGTGGCTATCGAGCAAGTTTTATCGGAATTACAGAGTATTTGTTCACTGAAAGAAGAGCAAAACACTGCTC